GATAACTTCAATCGTTCCAAATGAATGATTTTCTTATCATTCGTTTAGAATGATAATTTCAATCATTCCAAATAAATGATTTTCTTATCATTCGTTTAGAATGATAATTTCAATCATTCCAAATAAATGATTTTCTTATTATTCGTTTAGAACAATAATTTTATTGTTCTAATCAAACAATTTTTTTTATCGTTCATTTGAAATGATAACTTCAATCGTTCTAATCAAACGATTCTTTTATCATTTGTTTAAAACGATAACTTCAATCGTTTCAAATGAACGATTCTTTTATCGTTCGTTTGAAATAATAATTTAATTGTTCTAATTAAACGATTCTTTTATCGTTCGTTTGGAATGATAATTTGATCATTTCAATTAAATAATCCTTTTATCGTTCATTTGAAATAATTATTTCATCGTTCTAAATGATCTGAAATTTCAGATTAATCCGAAATTTTCAGTTCAGTTCAGATTTTTTTCGATTCAGATTAGATTTATAATCTGAAAAAAATTTGAACTGAATCGAAAATTTTCAGATTGAAATTTTTGCAATTCGAAACTGAACTGAAGTTGATCTAAACCAAAAATTTTCGGATTAATCTGAATTGTTCAGAGCTTTAATCAAGATATTAATATTTATTAGATGTAAGAAGAAAAGGATGATCAGAACTAGATAATACTTAACATTTTTTCATTTCTTTTAAAGGTTAATAATATCATATACTGTAAACTTTAAATATCCAGTTATTTTAATTATTTTAGAGAGCTTTTGTATATTTTTAATTTATAATTATTTTACAATTAGCTATTTTATCTCAAATATTGAAGTGAGCACTATTTATTATAAATTATTACTGATAAACAATTACGCAAAAAAAATTGGTATTTATATTTATATCTAAAAATAATTAATAAATTGCTATTTTAAATTTTAGATAGAAATTAGCATAATAATACTTTTTTGTATTCTTATTATTTAACATTTTTAGATAAATTTTGACTAAAAAATAATTGTAATTATAAACATATATATGTTAGTATTGATAAAAATATGATTTGAATATAGATTATGCTCTAGTAACATTAATTATTATTGAAAATAGAACTGGTTATGCATTATCTCTTGCATTTTATAACTATATTTTGATTATAAAAGAGCAATAATTTTTAATTCACAAGCTAATTTATCTATTTAAATTTTTTTTAATAATATTAAGCAATAAAAAAAATAATTTAATGATAAAATTAGTAATTGATACTATTAAAAAAATATTTCTTATAATGATATATTATATTAACATAGATAGTTTTATGAGAATTTGTTATCAGATAATAGATTTGAATGAGTTTGTGAATGCTAAAATGATAATTGAAAACTATATGCAATGATTGATAAATACTAATCATCAAAACTTATAATTCAAATACTACGTAAACCAATATTATATTGGTTAAAGTGATTTATTTTAAATATTTTACAAAGTTAAATTTCTTAAAAAATTATAATTTGATAATATTTTTCTTTAAGAAAATATTATAAAATATTTCTTTTAATAAAAAAATATTTTAGAATTTCTTTTAAAAAAAAATATTTTTTTCTTAAAAAGATTATTTTAGAAACATTTATCTTAATAGGAAACATTCAAAAATAATTTTCTTAAATAGAATTATTTTGAAATATTTTTTTTAAAAGAAAATTATTTTGAAAACTTTTTTTAAAAAAAAATTTTTCTTTTAAAAAAAATTATTTGAAAAAATTTTTTTTTTAAAGAATTATTCTGAAAATGTCTCTTATAAGTAATCATTTTGAAGATACCTTACCCATTTTTTAATTACAATAAATAGGCTAATTATAATCCGGATAGATTTAGTTTAAATTGTTTAAATTGTTTATTGATTAACCTAAAACAAGTCAAAATAAATAACTTAGAATTGATCTAATAGCTAAGCTAATCAAGTTAGTTTATGTAGAACTTTAGATTATGTAGTAGTAAAAAAAAAGTAAAAGTAAAAGATATATAATTTGTTAAAGGAGGATTATTACTTTCTTTATTATTTATCTGTTAACTTTTATTTTTTGTTTTTATGTTATTTAAATGTTTAACTTACTGATAGTTATATCAATATAAGATTCTAAAAAGATCAATAACTGTCATATCGATATCGTTAAATATATCTAGGAATTAAACCCCCTAGTGATGGATCGATTGGATGGTAAAAAATTAAATATGATTTTCGGGCTGAAATAATTCAAAAACTCCAAAAATTTTAATCAATACTACTTTTTAATAAAAAAAATTTACAGGAAAAAAATTTTAAACAAAAATCCATGGAATTGTTAGGAATTAAACTTATTCTATTGTCTTTTGTTTAACTTTACCAAGTTTCTATTTGTTTGTTCAGAATGTATAGACAGTCTTTTTCTACGTGTTTTTGCTGCCCAACTATGCCATTCTGTATAAACACGAACGCATGAATGAATAAATAGCGAAATAAAAATAATTTTTAAGTAAATAAAAAAAGAAAAAAAAATTTTTACCTTGTAAAATTTTAACTTCCAATTGTCTCTGTCTATGCAGTTGTTTCCATTTTTGTAAACACCTTAAAAGAAATATTTCACTTTAATATCTTAAATAATTTAAAATTAAACCAACTCTCATATCACTTACTTGCTATACCATTCAACAAAATATTTATTTTTAAGTTGCAGGTCAATTTCTTTAATTATTTGTTGTCTTTTTCTATTTACTCTTTTCCAATGTAAAAATGCGTTACTCATTAATTTAGTATTATAATCATCCTAGTAATAATAAATTTTTTAAATATTAAATTAAAAGAAGGTTTTCTTTAAAAAAAATATATATAAAAATAATAGATGTTTGGGTAATTTACCTCAGCCATTTCATTTAATGATTCATAATGAATATATCTACTTCTCCATTTTTCAAAAACTCTTTGTACTAAAGTTTCTTCAGTACCTTCATCAATTATACTATATTTTTGTGATGTCGTTATTAATTTATCAAAATATCTATCGTATCAAATCCAAATAATAAAAAAAAAAGATTGAGGGAGTCAAAGGTAATAATAATATTTTTTTTTTTCTTATTTTAAATATAAAGTATATATAAAATAAAAGGATATCCTCCACATCATAAAATATTTATATAATAATTCTTCTTGATTAGCTCCAAGTAATAAATTATAAATAAATTTTAATCTCCATAATTTAAACTTTTCTTTTAAAATTTCTTTATTTTTGGTTTTTGTTTTAGATTTTAATAACCATCTTGTGAAAAATTCATTAAGTAAAATTTCACGGTATTGTTTATTATATCTTTTAGCTAATTCAAATTGATTATAAGTATTATGTATCCTAAATTCAAAAATTACAGTTAATTAAATTTAATAAAATTGTAAATTTATGCGAAGTTTAAATCAACTAACCGACTAAACCATATGGCAAAGTAACGTCTCAGCAGGTTTCTTTGTTTGATAACTATAGCTTGCTTTTCCATATAAGAAACTATATAGAAAATAATATTAAAATAATATTAACATAAAAATCAAATAATAAAGAAAAAAAAAATACCGTATTGTTTACGATGATTCCATTTAATCAAATATTTTTTCATAATAAATTCTTTACATTTCTCACTAAGAATTCGCTTTTTCAATAATTGTTTTTGATATCTCATTGTCCATTTATTAAAAGAATTTGTTAATAACTTTTTTTGATGAAAGTTTATAGCTAATTTCCATTGCCTTATTCCTTTTGCACGAAACGTTCGAATTTTTATTGTATACCTAGTCATAACATAAATTTTTTCATTAATAACGAATGATAAATTCAAACAGGAACTTATTCTTATTCAAATGTACCTTCTCCATTCTTTAAAATATATTTGTAGTTTCTCTTTTAATTCTTCCATTTCTTGAGGATCCTCATTTTCATTATCGTCAACACCTTCAAAACCATCCGGATTAGATTTAACATTATCAACATTTGTTATAGGAATCCATGTATTCTTTTTTAGTATCGAATCATCGTCCTACATTAATTTTAGATTCATTCAGAAATATAATATAATTATTTTTATATTTAAGAAATGATTCGAAAACTGGTGAAAATCGAGAAATGAAGTCTAAAAGTAAGATAAATACGCACGTATATGACATACCTTGAGCGTATATTCTTCAGATTTACCAATTTCTTCAATTTTGAAGATATCTCTCTTGATATGTGATTGTTTCTCATTATCATCATCATTAAAACCCTGAGAATCAAATTTAGTTGATGATTCAACGCTCTAAATTGTCATTTTAAATTTAGCCTTTGCTGATAAATTTTTATTGTAGATCCGTACAAAAAATCAACATACCGTTTCATTGTTATCATCTTTATGTTCTAATACGAATGATAAATTATTTTCACTCGCTTTGATAAAATTATCGAAAGTAATATTTTCTACACTACTATGATCCAGTTGAGAAGAAGAAATGTTGCTTTCTGTACTATACTCTGATTCAGATAGTTCACTAGATTGACGTAGTAACCAATTATATTGTTCAATATCTGTTTTTGATCCAATATCCTAGATATGAAAGGAATCAATTTAATCGATTTTATTAACCAAGAAATGACTTTAGAATTACAAACCCTGATAGCATTTTCAAATTTATCACTCCAATTGTTACCAGGCATTAATGGCAATTTTAACAAAAATTGATAATAAGTAGTATCGGTTTTGGGGTCAATTCTTCTTGTTGACAATACAACATCATGAGCACGAAATAAGGACATGAACGAAATTGGTGTAATTTCTATTGAGCTCTGTGAAGTATGTGAAGTATATGTAGCTAATGTTATAATATCCGAAAGAATTTCGAGGTCTATAAATGTTTGAATTATTAACAGGCAACATTAAGCTAATGCGCGAGAAAATAACTAATATTTCTTTTTTGAAATAATAAATACCTCGGGCTGTGTAAGTATCCCAGGTTGGTTTTCGAATTTCCGAATTCATTGAAGATAATTGACAAAAGACGCGACTAAAAAAAAAAAAAATCGAAAGACGCGCGCAAAAATAGATATATAACAACAATTTATCGCACATATGTGATGCGAGGAAAATGAAATAGCTGGCGGTGATTTCTTGGATGAAGTCATATTGAGGGTATTGCATGCATAACGCTAGAGATGGCGTTATTAACCATTGTTAATATGGATTAATTTGAATTGACCAATCAAAACTAATTTATCGGATAATTAATTTCCCATCATTTCCAATTATCCAATCATTTTTTAGTATTCAAAATAAATTTAAAATAAAAATCAAAATTCGGATCTTTGACAAGATTTCTCATTATTTTTTAAAGCCATTTCTCGATATATATCAGTTCCCTTAAGCTTTGACCGACTGACCGTTTAATCCATTTCAAATATTTATACCATGTTCTGAGAATAGGTGAAAAGATGGGTATTCGTCGTCGAAGTAATTGCTAAAATTTAAGGTAAAAAAAAAATTCAAGGTTGTGGTTAAGAAGGAGGATAAAACTTTTTCGAATAAAGTATAATGATGAACAAGTTGTCGCCCCAGGCCGAGTTATTTTTCATGTGGATACGACAAAAGTGTATAGCCAAACAACACGCTTCTGATACTTTAACTAATTGATTTTGATTTGATTATGATTTATCAAAATAAAAAAATTATTTTCATTTACTAATTTAACTTATTTACTACATATATTCAGATTCGATGACTTCTTAAAGGTTGTTCGGATAAAAGAAGGGATGCGATGTTCAATCACGGTTTAATTGTTAGGTGAAATATTTTTCAGATTTTAGTTGTATTTTTAAAATTGATTCCGAACATTTGTATTTTTCTTTATAATTATATGGGAGGTTTATTATATCTAGTCTTAAAAGTCATTATCTCCCATATGTTAAATGCGAAATGATTATTCTTAAATATTTTATATGTACTATCAAATTCTGATCATTGATGAATAAATTTATATGATCGCAAATTCTAAAATATATATAAGAATGCATCAAATCATTTTTTGTTTACTGATTTAATTCCTCATTTTTATTTCATTTTTTTTTTTACGGATTTAGGAATTATAAGTATTCTATAGTCAAGGTTAGCTGTTTATTTCTCTTGTATAATAACGATAATACCAAGCTGATATATTATGACCGCAATGATTATCATTTCTTTTTTTTTTAAATAAAAAAGATAATATCACTTTTCTATAGTGAACTATAATATATAGATTGTGAGGTTGGCAATAATTTATTTTCGAATCGAAATTTATCTCGAACATTTTTTTACCTGATTCTTTATAAAGGTTTTCAATCTATTATTATTTTTATTCTTATTCTTAAAAATTGATACTATTTTTTTAATTAAAATTTTTGTCTTTAAAGCTTTATAAATTGAACGAAATTTAAACTTTTGGAAAATTATATAATGATTACTTAATAAATTGAAAATTTAGTCTCTGATTTTTTATAGCAGTAATTATAACCTTTTATAATATTAATTATACTTATATAGTTCAAAATTATTTTGCAAATAATAAAGTCAAAATCACATTATTTATATTTTTATTTATATTTTTTTTAATAAATTTATTTTTCCTTTTTGATCTTTAAACTTTTATATATATATGGGGTCTTTGCAATAGAAAGGGAGGAAACTCCAAAAAAATTAAAATTTTAGTTTATAAGCCAAAAATGTTCTAAATACTATAATTTGTTCAGATTTATTATTAACTTATTTTTTATTTTTTTTTGAGTTTCCTCCTTTTCTATTGCAAAGGCCTCATATATCCCTTATTAAAAATATTTAAATAAGAATATATTATTTTTTTATTTTAAAAAATAATTAATTATTTTTATTAATAAATTTATCTATAATATAATTTTTTTTCAAATTTGTTATTAAATACATTAAGAATTTTTTTTTTTTTTATAAAAATAATCAGTATTAGAACCTATAAATGTGATTATCTTATATGATATTAATTATAAAGTTATAAAATAAGAATTATAATATTTGTTTATTAAGAATTTTGTATAAAGTTATATTTAATTAAAATTGATTTGTTAAAAACATAAAATTTTTGTATTTTGATATTATTTTTAATTAAAATCTGTTTTATTATAAATGTATATAATATCAATATATAATAAATTCAAATAATAATAAAATAAATATATAGAAATATATATGAGAGCTTGTTAATAAAAAGGAGAAAATCTGAAAATTATCATTAATTTTAGTTTTAAGCTAATTTTTTAACACCTGATTGTGATTAATCAAGTGAATTAATAAAAAAAATTTTTATTAAAATTTAGATTTCCCCCTTTTCTATTGATTAGATCCCATATTATATAAAATTTTTTTATCATAGTAAGAATTTTAAATGATTTTGAAAAAATTTAGAAAATTATAATTATAAAAAAGTTTGAAATTATATTTATAAAAAATTTTTGGATTTATTAAATAACTTTATAATTATTTTATGTGAACTTTTTCTTACTATATATATTAAATATTGTTTTTAAAATAGCAATTATTAGTTTATTTAATAAAAAGTTTTTAAATCAATAATATTAATTTATTTGTCAATTTTTTAATTAATTTATTAGTTTAAAAAATTTATTAATTTTAAGGTTTAATTTAATAATTTTCACACCCAATTAAATGTCCAACTTTTGTATCACGTTAAACACGTGAATTGCATTAAATTTTATATTTAGCATTGGATTTTATTATGCATTTAAACTATTAAATATACAATAATACATATATGGTTTCTAAAAAATTATCTAATTAAACTATAAAGAAATAAAAGAAATAAGAAAAAAAAAAAAAAATACGAAAACGAGCAAAATATATAGATAGAGAAAATCTACACTTTTATTTATCTTTTCCAAATCCAGAAATTGCCTCCCCAATTATTTGCTCTTCCCCATCTACCGCAGATTCCAACAGGCAATAAAACACCATCATAAATCCAACTATGAGAAGCAACATATGTTTTTATAAAATTCACTTTTCCTTTCTCGGTAATAACACCTTTTTTAATAATAAACTCACCAACTTGATCAGTTCCGCTACCAGAAAATTCTTTTACTACCTTATCAGTAACCAATGCGCTTGGATTAAAATAATAATAAGCACTTAAATTACATACTTTACCCGGTTCTGGTGGAGAAAACTTTAACGTAATATCCATTGCTGATTCTTGTGTTACCCCTTCCCAATATTGATAAGGTAATGGTTGGAAATCTGAATAATACCCAAACCATTTCCCGTCATATTCATCGTCGTTATATGGTTGAATAATTTCATCTCCAGGTTTTTGGTATAAATTGTTGAAAATTTTGGAATTTGGTACGATTGGAGGCGGCGGCGAGAAGTTATAAATAGATTCCGTTCGATTCGAATTGACATATTTTATGCGGAAAAAGATGTGAATCGCTGATCCTGCTGATGCTGGAAGATATAAATGTTTTAGTCTGACATCATTATCCGTTGATTCTGGGAAAAATATATCGGGGATGATCATTGAAGCATGAATATTTGACCAAAATGTGTCCATTTTTTGTAAACCAATCGCAAGCTCTGGGTGCCAAGCCATTAAAATTGAAAGGACTTGTAAAGCAATAGATAAACAATCGATTTGAGTATTCGTTTTATCCAGTGCCTGAATTAGGCTCACCGTAAATTCTTTGACATTTGATGCTAATAATACTTCACTATTCATTCCATCATTCTCTTTGCAAATTTTCCAGATAGTATTTAAAATCTTTAATAATTCCGGGTTATTATTCTGTCGGGTAAAGCCCATTCGTATTCTTCGACTTTGAATATCAGATCCTTGATAACCCTCATCTTCATTTGAACCGTAATATAGTTCCACAATCTCATCATCAACATCTTGTGATGTATCATATTCATAATATTGTTGAATCGTGTCGTCATCATCATCTTCATGATTGTTTCCGGAATCATTCATGTTAGAATCCAATACGTCATCCAATATGTCATTGTTTCCATTACCGAAGGCGACATCTTCATTCTGTAGGTTAACACTTTTTACCTCGTCTTCAACACCATCATTTTCATCATAAGCGGGTAAATCATTTTCTTGCTCGTTTAATACTACTACATTTGAAGCAATTTCCGTCTTATTATTATTAAAATCTTGCAAATTAGTCAATTTTTTATCTTCATCGTAATCCTGTAATTGAAATACTTCATTTTCATCGTAAGCAGGTAGGTCATCATTAATGGATTCTTTCAAGTCTTCATCATAATCAGGTAATTTAAAGGATTCTTCTTCGTGATCAGGTAATTTAAACTCCTCTTCATAATCCTGCAATTTGGGCGAAGGTTCTTCAATGTCGGGTAATTTAGGGTCCTCGTGATCCTGTAATTTAGACAAAGGTATTTCGTGATCAAGCAATTTAAGTTCCTCATCCTGGAAATTAGATGAAGGTTCTTCTTCTTCTAGATCAGGAAAATTAGATGAAGGTTGTTCTTCTAGATCATGTAAATTAGAAGAAGGGTCTTCTTCAAGATCAGGTAAATTAGATGAAAGTTCTTCAGAATCTGGTAATTTAAGCTCTTCCAGTTTAGAAGTCTCAACATCATAATCCTGTAACTGAGAAGACTCATCCTCATAATCCGGTAATTTAGATGATTCATAATAATCCTGTAAATAGGTTTCATCCAGATCATCCTTAATTTCCGAATTAAAAAGATCCTGATTTTGATCAAAAACATTATCTACCTCGTTAGTAGAATTATCAGTATCTTTAACTAATGTTTCAGTATGTCGTGCAATAGTCTTGCCATCTTTCACATCATTGAAGATTTGATCCATTTCAATTATATTGGAAGCGAATATGGAATCCAACTCGGGATCATCAAAAGTAATTGGATCCTCGCCTACAAAATCAATGTCTTGAGAAATATCTTCCACTTTGATAGTGGAAATTGCATTGTCCTCCAGATCAATTTTAGCATCATTTTCCTTTGTAGCGTCTTTTTCAACGGCGTCCCCAGTGGTATCTTCCAGGTCAAATTCTTGAAAAAGAAAGTCATCATCATCTCCAAGGGTAAGGTCAGAGCTATTTGGATATTTTTCTTCGGTTTGTTCTTCATGTTCCTGGTTACCTACAAAATTAAAATCGATTAATGGAACATCAACATTATCATCAACTTGATCGGTTGATTTTAATGTTGAACTATCCTCGTCGTTAGTAAAAGTATCATCTTCGTCAGCATTATCTTCTAAAATACAATTAAAATTACACTCCATAAGATCATCTATACTAGTAGTAGTAGTATCGTCATCATTTTCAATATGATAATTAATGGAAACAAAAGGCGAAGGTAAAGTAGGTGTAATATAATTTTTCACTTTATTTAAGGCAATTTGACGTTCTTTATACAATTCTTTCCAAATATTTCCACCGGTTTGTGTTTGTACCGAACTAGAAGAGGAGGGTTGTACTTGAGAAGTTGTTTTACCTTCACCTTCACCTTTTGTATCACCAATAATATCAACTCCTTCAACACCTCCTTCTTCTAGGCGATTGTAATTTTCGATAATTCCAGCTCTAATTATAGCCTCAGAGTCAAAAATTTTTTCAAAAGCCATTTGCCATATGAACACATCATTCGCTATTTTATGGAATAAGCGACAAACTCGAGAAAGTATAGCAATTTGTTTATGTGGTGAACAAACGATTGTTGAGGTGGTCGTTGAATTAGGTTCATTTGCTGCTGAGGTGGCAAAGGTCGTTGTTCGATCAGTCAAAGTAAATGCAAAAATAGCAAAAATAGTTTCATTTGGAAGGCGTGAAAAAAAATTTGAAGTATCATATTCGTGACTAAACGAACTGGTAGAAGAAGGTGAACTTGGTGCTAAAACGTAAACAGTAATATCGTTATTTTCTTGAAACATATTGAACACAAATCTGCGAAAAAAAAAAAAAAAAAAAAAAGAATAGAAAGAGAATATTTTTTTTTTTGCTACTAGGCTGGGAAAAAAAAATTTGATTCTAAAATGGGGTTTAACAATAACATCACCATTTCACGTGCGTGTTCCCAGCGCGTCAATAGCGTTAATCGGTTCCCGTATAATAATAATATATAGATGAAATCAAATAAAATTTTCTCGTTTTTCAATCTTTTTATGATGTATAATAAATTTAGATCAATATCTAATATTTTTATTCCAAGAATTAATCAAATCAAAGGTATTGGATCGGTATTATTATTATTATTATTATTATTTATTTTATTTTATATAATACTTTATTCAAACACTAATAAAATTGTTACAAAGTACATAACAGAATACTTCCTTCTTTAATATTTCAAAGAAGTTTTAATAATTCAAATGTTAATAACTTGGAACACTTTGATACAAGTTCATTTGTAGAAAGGTTAGAGAAAGAAGGGTTTACAAGACAACAAAGTGAAGCTATAATGAAATCATTATCTGAGGTGATGAATGAGAGGTATTTGCAGAGATTTTCCTTCTTCGTCGTCATTGCTTTTTTTGTTAAATTCATTTACATACCCTTGAAATGATAGTATGCAGAATCTGACGAGTAATATGGTGACATTAACAGATCAAGAGAAGGTAAATCTTTCACGGTTCACTTTATTTTTATTAAATTAACGTTCCCTTATTCATCTCAATTAAAGATCGTATACACGACCAAAGTGGACATATCCAAGTTAAAATCAGAAATTCAAATTGTAGAAAAAAGTGATTTCAATGTGTTAAAAGCGGAAAACGAAAGGTTATCATCAGAGATCGAAAAATTAAAACTAAAATTAAATGAAGAAGTTAAAAAGACTCAAGGAGGAGTCCGTTTGGATTTAAATTTAGAAAGGGGTCGGATTAAAGATGAATCAAGGGTATTAGAGGCAAGTTTAAAAGAAACTCACACCAAGATTGAAAGTGAAATAGCTGGATTAAGAACAAATATGGAAACCGTTAAATTCCAAATATTACAATATATGATTGGTACCTTAACTGGTGCCGGCGCTTTGATCTTGGGTAAGTAACCGTTTCTTTATATCATTTTGACGTTTTTATTTTCAAATCGATTTATTAAAATATATATATATTTATTTTTTTTTTTAAAAAAAAAAAAAAATTCAATAGCGTACATGCGGATGTTTCGATAGATTAACATTATTAAAGTAAAATTTTAGGATATACACAATTTATTAATAGTACCTTATTAAGTTGTCTAAAATTACAAACATATATAGATATATAATATATATATATATATATAATCTAATAATAATAATAATAATAATAATAATTAAGAACAGAAACCACAGAAAACAAAGAAAGGAGAATAATTAAATAAATGAGTTTCGGTATAACGATCGTTAGGATTATCTTTTTGTGTTTTGGATAATTTTTTAGCAGAATTTTTTGCGATTAAACCAGTAATTAAGATAAAGGTTTCAAACGAAGTCAATAATTCCTCTTCCTTGCCTTTACTACTATATGAATCAGCGTCTAAGATTTTACTGGATATGTTAATATAAAGAGAGTTCGTCTCGTTTTCAAATTCAGCTATTCTTGCGCCTATCCCGCTCAATCCTTCGACACAATATAATTCACTTTGTTTATCACCATTATTATCAGGTATTAAAGAACCATTAGAGAAGGCATTATTATTTTTCTTTAGATGGAAAGAATTTCTAAAAGAAGCTCTCTTTTGTTGTCTATTAACCGTATCATCGGTATTATTATTAATCTTCCAAAGAAATATTCTACCATTCCAAGATATGACATAACCACCCAATAACTTTTCATATTTAATTAAGGTATATGGAGTCATTAAATTTGAAATTTCCCAGGTAGAATTAGGTTTAATCAACTTATTTATTCCATCCACGCCACCGTTGTTTAATCCATTTATCGTCTTTGACGACGACGTGCTATTAAACGTACAAGTGCTTCCAATGCTACTCGTAGAATCAACCGAAGTGGTGGATAAATTGCTAAATCTATGCTTGTTCATATTTAAATCTTCTCCTAAAAATTGATGTTTGGTTTTGGTTGGATTATTGGCAAGAGGGGTAATTGCGGTGGTGTTGTCTTTACTACTGGTGGTGGTAACTTCGTTCAGTCTTGGGAATGCGTTCCAATATAACTGATTTTGGTCATTACAACTTTGTATGCAAACATTTGGATTAGAATAAGTTGGAGCTTTTATTTGGTATTTTGGAATGAAATCCGTTCCGTTACTTAATTTTGTTGTATTATATATTGTTATCATACCATTTTCTTTTATATATGTGTATTGTGCTAGTGAGTTGTGGCGAGTGGAAGCGTACGTCTTGCTCTTTTGCATTTTTGGTACCTTTGAAAGGGATGTAGTTGAAATGGTGGGGTTGGTATTGCTAGGTACCACCGTGTTATTAATTCCGCGCGACGACATTTTTGTGTGAGGGTTGTTTTTAATATTATTGTTTTGTTTTTTTTTTTTTTTTTTTTTGAAAAAAAAAAAAGGAAGGAAATTGTTGTTGTTATGTTATTGTTTGTGTGAACAAGAACCAAAAGAAATTTTCCCCACTATTTATATTTCATGATAAATAAATGTGGTGTGGTGTGATCGTTATTGGATCTACCTGACAATGAAAGTAATTTTTTTATTTCTACTGTGCTACTTTAATTCTTTTAGACCATTAATTATTGGCGAAACATATTTGTTAAACCTTAAAAAAAATTACTTTGGTGACACTTAATTAATGACTATATTTATATGTAAAAAAATATCCTTCTAAATTACATCAAATGTACGTATATGTATAATATTTGTCATAATCTAAACCACAAGACGAAATACACCAAAACCAACAAAGTTATTACCATAAACAAGACAGAGACAAATAATACGAAGAAGAATATGGGAAATTCATTTTATGGTGGTTTAATTAATGTTGAAACTTCCGGTGGGGTTCACAATTAAACATTAATATATAATATCACAATTATTAATTTAAAATATTGGGTAGCTTTTTTTGGCGTAAAAAAAAATTGCTAAAGGAATAAAACAAGTTTTATGCACGGCATGCAGGGTTCGGATACGTCATTGGATGAGATCGAATGATTTTCATTAGATTGCAAAACCCCCCCTCCATTTTTACTAAAGAAATTCGATTGTTTTATTTATAGAAATAGTTGTCGAAGGGAAGCGATATTTTTGGTAATTGATTTTCCCAAAAACATGATTGTTGAGTAAAAATTACAGAACTTTGAAAAAAAAGTATTTTTTTTTTTTCTATGCATTAGATAATTCTGGTCAGAATTACGAATACGCGTTTGAAAAAATTCCACTTTGATAATCGTAACTTTTTTAGTTAATAACAATTATCCTTGTGGGTGTAATGCTATTCTCCAGAATATAATCAGCATTTACAAAATCATTACTTTCTATTCTATATGCGGCAGATTTCTCATCTTTAGCAATTCCACTTTTTATGTGTCTTTTAATCACTCTCATTTTTGCAATTTCACGATCTATTTGTAAAAACCAAAGTTCGTCCATTTGTAAAGCAATCGAATTCCAAATACGTGGTTCTCTCAAGTGAAGGTAGAGTCCTTCAAATATCACTAATTGATGACTATGAAATAAAATTTAATTATGATGAGTACAAGGTAAAAGTGTAAACCATATGTTGCAAAAGATGAGAAACCTTGGAAGAATCTTGATGTCATCTTCGACAGGGTCACCAACAGCATGGTCAAATGATGGTGCGTTGATGATTATCTGATTTATTATTGGATTTCGAAGGCTTACAACAAGTTGAAGAAGACCTAATTTTTTTTTTTAAAGTAATAAATCTCAAGAATATTCCCGCTTAATAAAATATCAGTTACTCTACCTTCAGCATCAAATGTCCAATGCGCTCCACGACGAGCATAAGCTTCCTCGACATTCTTTATAACAAAGAATTATATTTTAAATTTCGTAATTGAACCGTAGTCATAGGATTCAATTTCATACCGGAAATGTGTCCAAGATTTTTTTGGGGTAATGATATCCATCCATTGATATATTGATGGCTACTTGTTTTTCAATTAACTTGTTTACATCTTCTGCGAGATTATTTGCCAAGGTAGTTTTACCTGATCCTGGAATGCCTGCTATCGCAAGAAGATATCGTTTTTCTGGAGAAAGACTAAATATTTAAAATTTTTTTTTTATTTTTTTTTTTTTATCACCATGAGCTTATAATGAATTATCTTATTTTTTAACCTAAAACTTAAAAATATATTTAAACAAAGAACTCTTTTACGGACTTTGAAATTTTTTCTGTAAGGTATTTGGCAAGGTCATAAGTACTATTATTCATTTTTCATTTTTTTTTTAAAAAAAAAAAAAAAAAAAAAAAATGATCGAGAATGCGAGAATTTTAAGAAGCTGCGTATTTATCTTTTTTGTTTTTAAAAATGCAATTTTTTCATTGGGTGATAAAATCAAATCGCGATTTAATATTTATTTGGTTAAAAGATCAATGGCAATACTTTTTTCCATTTAATTTAATCATTAGAAACAATGATTGGATACGTTCCCGAGATTTCATGCAACGTGACCTTTTTCCCTTGTTTCTTGTTTCAAAACAATATGATTTTTTAAATTATTTTATTCTTTTATCTGTAAGGTTTTGCCTTGTTCAAAAGCTCACGGATCATCAACTGTAATATTTAGTCCATTTTATCACATATTATTGGTATCCCTATCTATTTAGATGCCGTTGTTCATCGATTTTAAAGTTCTTTGGTGACAAGCCGATTTGATAAAGTCCGGTACAGCTTTCGAATCATATTCGTCATAAATTCTGTTCTTCTGTCCTTTAATACCTTTCACATATGCTTGATTTGTAATCGACAAATGCAATTTAATTGAGATTGTCAACGGGTAATTCCAAGATTGAACACAATATCGATATTGGTTTATTCAGCAATCTTTTTGTTAAAATAATTAGGTGCAGAAGAATACAGCGCGCGCTCATGATTTTTACGCTAAACAGTATGTTCGTGCATAAATTAAAAAAAATTCCTGCACGCCATGTTACGCATGGGAAATATAACTTCCGGAATTATATAGATTAGCGTTAACAGATTGAATAATTTTAATTCATACAATTTTCGTCATATTATTTGACGAATTTCAATGGTCCCAAATCCGTAACCTTTGATTATTACTTTGAGTCGGTTAACGTTCTAGTAGTTGTAATCTATCAGTAAATGACGGGGAGGGCAGTCATTAATTTCTTTAAAACTCCTTTAGTCAAAGAAATTAAAAGTAGGATCCTGTCAAATTTTTTTAAATTTTGGTATTTTAATTTTTTAGATAAAACTGAAATTTGTACAAGATTATGTATATATATACACCATATAATTATTCTATGAAGTAATGATTCTATTGATTAAAAAAAAAAAAAAAAAAAAAAAAAAAAATTTCTATGAATAAACTGGTTTTATGAGGGCTTAAAGGTTAAATCATAAAATGCAATGCATAATTTGAAGCATTTCGTTGCGTGTGATAAAACCATCTCCGTCATTATCATAAAATCGAAATAACCCTACAAAAATGAATTGATTTTGTTTTAAAAAGATTATTTCTTCCCGAGGGAATAATAAATAAATCAAATTTTAAACTTACATTGTAATCTATCTTCCAAATCTTCAGAAATATCCAAAGAACCGATGAATTCTTCAAAATTTATAGTTCCAATTGAGTCTTTTGTCGTTGATGATGATAATTTATTTTTGTTCAACTTTAGAGATAATTTATTTATAGTTCTAATGCTTTTCAATGATCTATGACTAATTTGGCTGCTAGTAGATTTTGTACTTGATTTACTCGATTTGCTTGATTTACTTCGTTTCAAAAATTTTCGATTCAATTTTTCTTGTTCGATATACTCAATATCATCTTCATTGATAAATTCATATCCCTCATCTTTTTTATCATAAATCGTTTCACTTGGTAATGGAGTCATGACCAAATCACCGATTCCATAACAGGTCGATACAGATGATGAAGATGATTGAGAAGAACAATTTGACCGTTTTCTTGAAAAATAATCATCCTGATCATCGGAAGATTCATGATCTGAAGGCTCTTTCTCATCATTACTGTATGGATTTTTTTGTAGGTAAGGACTTTGAGAGTAAGAATTACGCGGATAATTAAAATAACTATTCGTCGTGTAATTTGAAAATGGACTATTATTTACACTTGAAAATTTTTCATCATCCGAATTATTCAAATATTCTGTTGTGTTCATTGAATTGGAATATGGTGATGAAACATCCGTTATAAACTTATGATAACTTTCTATTTGATATGGTGTAGGTGGACTAAATAATATGGAGAAAAAAAAAAGGTTAAAAGTTTGAAAATGATTCTTTATGAAGTTTCTTTTTTTCGTGTACTTACTTAAAAAAGGCAGGTTTCGAATCCATCCACTTTGTATCTTTATCATCATGGCGATCTTCTAAAACATCATTTGATTTATATTCTATTTCAGCATTTTCATTACGTCTATTCGCAAGGTTGATATTTAAGGTGCTTAATAATTTAATCGAATTTTGTTTTGTTTGAATATAAACTTCCGAAACTTTTTTTAATGATTTTTCGCAAAATTGTGAAAGTGAGGAACGATTGTTATTTGATGACATTTTTTTTTTTTTTTTTATGTTATAATGAGTATGAAGAGTAAAGGTGAGAAAAAAAAAATAATTTGGAAATAGAAAAATGTTACAAGAGAGGAAGAGGAAAAGGAAAAGATTTTATTTTTTATTTTATTTATTTTATTATTTACAATGGATTAATGGATGATTAAAATTAAAAGAATTGTATATTAAATCTATAATCTATTGGTTTTTTTTTGTGGTGAAAAATGGGGAACGTTTTTTTTAAGAAAGAAAAAAAATAAAGATGATTATATACTCAATATATAAATCAATAAGAAAAAAAAAAAAAAAATAATAATAATTTAAAAAAAGTTTTTTTTAGGAAATATTATACAGAAAACAAATCCAAAACCTTCATAAACAAATTTCATAGTTTGCAAACGTATAAAGCAATACAGAACAAGATTTTCCTTGCCCAAGAAAGTTTCCTTTGTAATCCTTTTTAAAAACAAAAAAAGTAAATAACCTGCAAAGTGATACAAGACGTCATAATAAAACAATTGGCTGTGGCTTAACTCCGAATTCAAGAAGCAAATTATATTTTGTATAGATAAGTTTTATCGTTGAGATGTGTCCGGCTCGATAAACGGGATTTCCGTTAAAAAAAATGATTGCCACAGTTATTTGAAATTCTGGAACCTTTCGGTTTTTTTTGTGGTGGCTTAAAAAAAATTTTTCTGTGAACCTTTGTCTTTTTTCATAATATTGTGAAACAAACATATTGTTTTTTCAACTATTGAGATTTACAAATTTGGTTAATCCTTTCCTTATAAATTCTTTAAATAAGGAATGAACCTTTTTGTTAGATTTTTTCGGTATATTCTTATTTGACGATCATTTCCGAAAAATAGGCTGAATGGGAAAAAATAATTTTCTTTTTAAAGTAAACACATTCGTATAATGGTATCACCAATCCTTGTTTTTTTTCGAAGTCAAAGATATTAAATTAAAATTCTGTTTCAATTTCTTCTTTTAATAATAATAATCTTGAAACGTTTTCTCTAACCCCAACAAAAATTTGAATAGTCTATTGTTTTAGTAATTCTTTTTTAGAAACAAACAATTACAAATTATCTAATTTTGATTATTAAGCAAACTTTGTATTTC